TGTCCCCCATGTGCCATTATACAGGATCTCAACTCTTCCAGAGCATGAATCAGACCCACTGACCAACCTTATGTCTGGTACTTGGCATTAAAATGAAAGTACAATGTGTTTAACTTTTGGCATTCTGTAAGTATTTTATATGTGTTTGACATCTTTGGAAGCCAATTACCGATCATTCATAGTCTCTATTATACTAATTCCTTTAATATATTTTTATTACAAGGGTCATTCCTGGGATTCGGGTAACATTTCGTCTTGGAATATACAGTAAATTTTTTTCAACTACATATGATTCATTTTATAAATACCCCACATCATTCAGCACATATCAAACCTCCAAAAATCGTATATTTTCCCACCTCAGACATTGAAGACCTTTTATTATTTTTTTTATTTTTTTTTATTTTTTCAGATTTAGACACCTTTTTTTCTCAACCCTGTAACGGACAACATGGGATTGGTTTAAACAGGATTTTACACAGGACTTGTTATAAAACAAACATCTACCTACTGCTCATGTGTCCCTGATAACAATTTAATGATAACAAATGGAAATATTTAGCATAATTTTCACATTTTATAGGACTGAAGATACACAAATTGTGTGTCTATGGTCTCTTTATTTAAAAAAAAAAAAAAATTTAATTTAGAAGTTTAACTAAAACCACAATTGTATTGTTTTAGTCCTTAACATGTCACATGGTAATCAGCAAGAAATGCTTTCATTCTTACTTGTCTTCCCTGTATTTTTTATATAATTCAAAAATATTAATGTGACAAGGTGTGATGGGGTTGAATTCTGTAACAAATTTGAAGGGATAAATTGCCTTCAATTTTAATTTTCGGTTTTGTTTAGGATGGCCATATTTGCCCTTTATACGGGACACATCCTGGCCAGGATTTTTATATTGCCTAAAACATCCAAAGTAGTTTGACCAATAACATGCATGTATTGTACATAATCGACCAATCGTGGCGCGTCGCGCGTGAGAAGGTGAGAACGATCAAATCGATGCAAATACGCGCACGTGTTTGTTCGTTCGTTCGACTTGAAGCTGCGCACCGATCACTAGGCTTGTTTGAGATGAGCAAAATCT